GGGGGGGGTGAGCGAGCGGCTGTGTGGGGTTTATTTGCTGGCTGGGGTTAAACCATGACACCAACGCTTTGGGTGCTGTGTCCTTTCAAGGCTGCTCAGCCGGACGAGATGGATACACGTTTCTATTTAGGATCCCTGCCTCTTGCAGCAGGTACCGCTGCTGTAGCTATTAACATCTACAAGCATTGAAACAAATAAAACCCAATATATACGGCTATGAAAGAAAGCTGGACATTGCTGGAGATGAAGATGAGAAGCTTGCGAATGTCCAGGCAGGGGCAGGAAATTTTGCCTGCAAGACTGAGCCCTTTCGGATGAAGGATCAGCCCCCGCTGCGGCACAGCGGAGCTCACTTTGATAACCGTGGGGTCCCACCTTCCTTAGCTCTCATGAATCCAAAACACGTCCACTCATTTTTCAATTAAATATAGATTCCTATTCAAGTCCCCTCAGAAGCTGAGCTGCCACCAGCACACACACAGGTACTAGCCACCAGCCGGTAGCTGAAGTGTATCCTAAGTGCAGTGAAATACAGGACAGGGTACTTCAAGTGAGGTCTTCATCAAGATGTACAGGAAGGGAGAAACACAAGATTTTTCTCAGGCATAAAATAATATACAAAGTTAGGAAAACAAACAAAAAAACCCATGTAAATATGCAGTACCTTTTGGAGTGTGAAATAAGCATATACGATGAGGAATCATGCAAACACCAAACAATCTATATAGTGCCGTTATCACAAAAGAGCTATCTGTTGTGCAGCTCTAACCCACATGGCCAGAACAGCCCAGGCTGGTCCATTGTATTTACATGCAATCATCTAAAATCTTCACAACCGTGGCTGTTTTCAAGGTCGTACACCATTTGCACTGCTCTAAAAGCAGTCCCTCTCTCCGGTTGATTAGGGCTCAACAAATTCACCTCTGCCAGCGACGCAAAGAACACTTGAGCCTGTGTCCTCAGAGGAAGATGAAAGGTAAAATATGGAGCTAACAATACTTTATGTTAAATGGTCAAGTAATAGCTGGAGGAGGAAAGATCCACAGACCTCACTGTCAGCATAAGTGGTCCTTCACACCAAGACAATGAGCACTGTTATATAAATGTTGATATGATGTCTATAAAAATATACGGCAACAAAAGGCATTTCTAGCTTCACACTTCTTTTACCACGGGGAGAAGAACACAAGGTTGAGAACCATTTGCAAGATACTTGTAAAGACCTTAGGCACTCTTAGGACTGTGCCCCCATCCAGAGGAGACCCGTGGTCTGTTGATACCTACCTGTTGACGCCATCCCTGGAGAAGAAGACCGTGTACGTCTGGACGCTGCCTCTGGCTTCTGCGGGTGGGCGCCAGCTGAGACGGACAAATCGGCTGGAGACCAAAACAGGGACCACATCTCGGGGGGCAGAGGGGAGGACACTGGAACTTGGGACAGCTGGAGGGGAAGGAGAGGAGTCAGTCAGAGAGGCTGGTGGCACGGGGGTGGTGGGGCGGGCGGGAGGTGCCGTGGTGGCCACGACTGAGGTGTTAGGGAACAAAGGGCCAAGGTGGCATGGAGTAAGCATGAGTAAAGTGACAGGGGATGAAAGAGAGAGAAAAAACTAACAGTAAAATCACACCTAAAAATACACCATCCTCTAAATTGAACAGCAACACGCAAAACTTGAGTAGGCTATCTCCTCGGGATACTTGGAAATTATTTCTTGTACGAGTGATCAGTGCGATATGTTCCTTTGTTCACTCCTGTTTCACTGGTTTTGTCTCTTATGCCCCAAGCAGCAGTTAACCTCATAAACCACCACCAACTGACCACTCAAACCTACAAACCGACTGAAGCCTACAAACCGACTGGTCTGGTAAGAGCAGAAACTAGGTAGGGTGCTTCAGCATCAAAGAGGGATAAAATGACAAGAAAAAAGACAGCGAAACTTAATATTAACAGCCGTCCCCATGGAAAAGTGTTCAGTCTATGTGTAAAATCCAGAAATGCCTAAACTGCAGATTCAAGTGGTAAAATTAATTTTAGAACATTTAAACACAATAAACTCTTTATAGAGTTTAAGGGTTTGGTTGTTGCCCACAAAGTCCATGTGAAAGCTGCCCACCAACATAAATGAAAAAAAAAAAAAAATTTAACAATAATTTAAGTGATCAGCTACCTCCTAATTTAGCACATGCATCTTACGGAGCATCCACAGCCATCTAACCTTCTCTGAAGGCCAACATGATGTATAAGGTCCGATTTCACGAGCCACGCTGGCCCTGAAAAGCAGGTTTTCACCATTGGTATTGAACCAAAAAGCTATTTTTTTTTTTCATTATTGTAAATCTTTTTTGGTCAGTGCCTATGCATATACTGTGAACTGTATTAGTAGCATTAATTTACTGTGAGATCATTAACAGCATTGTATTATCTAAACAGCTTATAAAGAATAGCTTTATGTAAAAAGCATGACATTCACTGAATACCAGCTTAGCATTTTCTTACATTATCCCTAAATTATTATTAAAAACCATTAATACTGCTATTATTAATAATAAATATTATTACCCCTTACTTATTGTGATCAATCCAAAACCAGAGGGAATTAAGGAATTTTGCAGTGGCATTTCCAGAGTAATGATGTGTTGAAAGAAAATATTAAGCCATGGTCTCAGCTCTTTTGGCTGCAAAGTTGCGATCCATTATTTGCACTGAGATTGTGTTTAGCATCCTTAGTCATGGGCCGCTGATCTAAATAATGTGCAAACACAAGACCAAAGTATAATTCTGTGTACATTTATATTATGACGACGCGACTATTTTGCTTCACGATCAGAGCGAGCAGATTTGGGCTTCTGGTCTATTCTATATGTTGACTCATGTATTATAAGCACACGTGCATTGTCGTCTTCTAACAAGGGCTGCGGTAGGTAAACATCTCTAGAGAAGTACCAAGGGCATGATTGGATAAAAACACACAGACAAACCTACAAGGCTTTTTCAGTTGACTTCTGATACTTAAATCAAACACAGCAATCCAGAAAAAGCACTGTAATTAACTATTTTGGCACCTGAGGTCTGTAGAAACTCCTGAGTTCCACCACAACACACCACGGTCCGTGGTTCCTCCACCAAAGAGCCATCCTCCTGGCAGAGCTCGGCAGCCTGGCACCCCTCTGCCACCAAAACGCATTTAGTATTCAGGAGCTTGCGCTATGGTCAGCCCCAAGTCCAGACATGTACATTTAGGTGGCTACGCGTATGTGACTACATATATACGGGTGTCTAAGCTCCCCCCATAGAAAATGAGGACATCTACCTAACACAGGTGATGGAGCCCAAAGAGCTACTCACACTACCAAACAGTGGTATCTACCTTTACACATGCTGAATAAGTATCTAAAATCTGGAGGCGAATCCATACCCTTCGTGACCTCATGCCTGTGGATGCGGCGGCGGCTGACCTGCTAGGTGTCAACTTACGAAAATAATAGTGAAAAACGGAGGTGAAAAGCGGCAAGATTGGGACTGAAGCTCCAGTCCACTAAGCGTGTGTTTCACTCTGGCTTTCAGGAAAGTCTGCAGAGCTATCACTGACAAAAGCAATTTCACTTTTATTGTTGCTGGCAGTGAATAGCAAACATATACAGTACAATAGTACAATATAGAGAGACATATAACCTGGAATTATCTCAGCAAGTAATGTCTGAAATCCTTCAATCTTTCATATGACTACACAAGATCAATCCACCACTGGTTAAACCATCTTCATCAGAGTCTGACAGGCTCTGATTTTAGCCCGATGTGGTTTATATTAACTCCCTGCAAAGTGCATCCTTCTCTGCTCTCGTGGCAGCGTGAATAATCACTAGCTCTGTACAAAGCGAGCAGCAAACCGGACTGTTTGATTCATCTTCCACACGTGTAAACGACTATGCAGTCCACAGAGAAGGCCCAAATATAGGCCTGGTAGGAGCTGATCTTTGTGTTTCCATTTAGGAAGCCAAATGGAGCACCTCAAATTCAGGACCAAATCCCCCGTTATTTATAATCCAGAATCAGCTGTCAGTTTTGTGACCTTGTTACTATTTTGCCAGTAGGACCCATCTCTTGCACTGCTAAAGCAAACGTTCTTCAAAAAGGTAGAAATACGCTTGAGGTAGGTGTTCAGGACCTGCTTGTTTACAGCCTTTATTTGTAAAATACAGACCAGTTATAAAACATGCGTGAGGCCAACTATTTAAAACATTATTTAAAACAACCAAAGGCAAAACGTCATGCGTGACATCCCATTTCACCGCTGCTTCCAATACACAGCAGTCACGGGCTGTTTGTAATTAAAAATAATAAGAATATGAGACCTAGTTCAAAGAGACGGGTTTTTTTTAAATACTTTTCATAGGTTGGTTTGGTTTTGTTTTGTTGCTTTTTTTTTTTTTAAGACATATATATGTACATGTCTGCAGGCAGGAGATCCTATTAGCAACAGCTGTGTACCCTTTAAATGGTGCTTTTAGAGACCAGCAAAAGCTTATGTGGGATATACAAGAAGAGATGATGAACGAATGAAAAAAAAACCCCTTGCAATTATATCCCACAAGGGATTTGGTATCATGAAGCTATAACATTATTATTGCTAAGCAGAGGTGGCAATAGATGGCATGGGTTTACTCATGAGCCTCTCCTGGTAAAAGAGATGGGTGCAAATCCTCTAAATCCAAGTTATAAAACATCTCATGTTCTGACCTGAGTGCTCACAGGGACTATATATATATTAAAAAAAAAAAAATATATATACACACCCAGACCTCAGCACAGTTTTTGTACCTCTGTGCAAAAAAATATTCATTTGCTTTTTTTCTTCCCCCTACATATTTACCAAGTTGACCGAAAAGGGAAAGAC